ATTGCTAGAGAATTTTTGTAGTATTGTGAATGTGTAAGAGTATATTTGGAGAAGTGAGGAAGTGTGCATTTTATAGGCTTTTCCCAAAACAAAAATAATGGAGACGTTTTGATTTGTTTTTTCAAATTTGATTTGACCAATAATGCCAAATTCTCAACTTAATTACGTCCGTTTCTTGCTGAGTCTTATATGATTTGACAATGAATGTCAATAATGATAGTCATAACCATTTGATTGCACATTATTTTCTATTTGAAATTATTAAAAGATATGCTATTTGGGGAGGTTATTGGTTCATGAAATTTAATAGATTTGAAAATCTATGGGTATTTGGAATTTTATATAGATTTCATAATCAATAAATTGGATTTGAGAATCAAATCTAATGGATTTAAGAATCAWYTGAGYAGGATTTYYAAATCAAATGAAATGGATTTGAAAARCAAGTAAAGTGGAGTTYGATATAAAAACACATTGTAAAATAAATAAAATTGACTTATATTATTATGATATAAACGACAATTTAAAAAAAATGCAATTTTCTCTTCAATAATTTTTTTTTAATTAAAAGTCAGTTTTTATTTATTTATGAAATCATGAAAAAATCAGTTATTGTGGGTCGTTTTGAAGCTTCTTCACCGGAAATGGAGTGTGGTTGGGAGTTTGCTGGATCTATGAAGAAAAATCCACGCCTCTACTACGGATTCTACTCACCATACAGGGACTCTCTCACCCTCACAACTCTTACCTCAGATTGAGGTTGTAAACAGCCCCTCTTCCTCGGCGGTGAGGATCTTCTGGTTTTCGTTCTCCTCTATCCTCCTCTTCGTTATTATTACCACTCCATACCCTTCTTTGGGTCAGTTTTAGTACTGTTACTGTTACGAAAATGCAAAGATACTCAAGATGTGAAAAGTGTAAAGGCATAGCCTCCTCTGGCACTTAGGTTCGTGAAGATCCAATTAAGCTTCCTGAGATTGATATTTCAGCTTTCATTGAAGCTAATAAACTTACCCTCATTGGTAGGGTTACAAATCCAGTCTTAACTAAACCTAAAGCGCATTGCTTTCTTACCATCGCTATGGCCTACCTCTGGAAGAGTTTCGAGTAA